GGGAGATCATTCTGGTTACTCCTTTACGGTGGCTGCATGGCTTACTTGTTCGCCGTCAACTCAGTCACACAAAACCTTCTAACTGTAAACTTTGAACATAATCCGGTACGTGCCGTTCACATATTTGCATTTAGCAGGCGTCACTGTTCGAAATTTTTACCAATATCGTCCGCAGGCATTTCCTTCGGACGTTGGGTCGCATTATCTATTTCATCGTATTGTTCGTCTTGCTGTACTGCCTCATCTGCGGAGGAATGCCATTTGGCAGAGGGTAGAACAACCGTTCTGTTATTTTATTGTACCTAAGGTTGTTTGCTCATTTAGACAGCGGATTCTTTTTCGACATGTTCTCTATTGGCTTTTACATTCACGCATCGTGGAATGCCTCTCTTGTCCTCTTGCAAACTACGTTAACACAGGTATACCATCTTCGATGTTAAACTTCTTCAGAATTTAACATTCAGTATTGAAAAAGACAGCTCAGTTTCGGTCGCAGTAAATAACTTTGTAAATGAGTCATCGACCGGCATTCTGCACGTAGGCTCCGACTCCCCTACTAACTGCCCTACAGCACCTCACTTTAGGCAGACTTTCAGCTGCCGTGGCACAAAATCCCCAGACGAGAGCTCAGATTTTCAATGTTGCCGACCTGAGTAAGTTGTTTTTGCTTGACACTCGATGCGTTTATTTGAAGGCAGCATTGTCACTATTGGTGTTTGCATTTGTCACCATTGACGTCTGAGTTTACGACCCCACGTATGTCCTGTGTTGATATGAAGGGCTGCACAAAGATTTTAAAAAATAATGAACCGGATGGTTGATCCGACAAGTGGCCAAAATGCCCACCAGATGCTGCTTTTCGCTGTCCTGCCACTGACTCTCTTAGCAAGCAGATTATCCCCGTCGCAGCTGCTACTTTAGGTAATAATTCAACATTCTAGGTTATTCTAAGTGAATGGACCTTCCACAAAAGTGCAAAAGTACGTCCAAATAAATAAAGAACAACACTTCTAAACATTAGTTGAGTCTGGCTTTTCGGAAAGTAAATGGATTGGACAATTTTCCAAAACTAAATAAGGTCAATTCGAGAGAAGAATTCAAGTTCCACGTAGGGCTTAATTGCTACCACTTGAGGCTTGTGTTCGATCATTGTTCGTAAATCGAGTTTATGTTTTTGGTTCTTGGACCTAGTTTAACTTGTTTTCCACATTAAATTCATAATCATTCGCCAGTTAATTTATAGGTCACAGCTGCATTTACTGAAATAATTCGTGTTGGCATCAAATTGTAAGTTCTTAATTGTAGTAAAGTTTTAACCTTGTCTTTCCAGATGGTCAAGTGGTGATGTGGCAGCGTATTAGCTCCTGTTGCCTCGACAAGTTAGACGTATTTCTAACTGGACTTCACAGCGTCAACAAGCAACTTTCTGCCAGTTCCTCAGCCTACCTTGGCAAGTTTTGTGCTCCTTATATATACTTTTAATGTTTGTTGACGGTTGTTTGAACCAAAACGTATTTAGCTACAAAAGTTCCTTATCTGCTAAGTAAAAAAACAATTCCGAACGCTTGAATAATAAGCATTCGCCATGACTGACTTCAATGATGTCCCGCAAACTGCCTATCCACGCGCCTAGGGCATGGGTGTGACAGCAGCCTGCCGTGCTGACCAAATCCTTGTTTCTAGGAATCATCGAGCACAACCAACTCACCATTTTCATTCGGCTCAGGTTATAGGGCACGGAATTCCGCACAATTACTAGACAAGGTTGCAACTAACCCACCACTTCTTCCAGTGCTCAATTCAGCCCACAACATTGCTATCCAGATTGGCTTCTTGTTATTCTTTCTCACTGTAAGACTTTAACCTCAAGTTTTTTTTTATTTGAAAAGGCAAAACTATGAAAATGGAGCAAAGATCAGATGGACCTCCCTCCCGTGCAACGAACTTCGCAACCCAAAACGACATGGTTCCTTTCGTGAGAACCCTGACAGAGTGCACTACTCAGGTAAGTTTGCGTTGTAACTCACGCACAGATTCGTCTTATTGGTTGGCTCGAACCTTCTGTTGTCGGCCGGAGTTGACTATTCACCTATACGATGAAGCCATTCCTTTAGTTAGTACCCGCACACCCGGGCAGCCTAGTTTAATGCCTGATGGCATCCATGCCTCCCTCTTATCTCCAAGTGACAATCCTCAACAATTTTACTCTTCAGACTTAGAGTTATCCATTGGTCTTCCTCTTAAGACAATTGCTTGTATCGGTCATCAGCTTATGTTGTATATGTATATCGATCTCACTGTTTAGTTTCCTTCACTAAACATTTTCCGTTTTCCCATTTTAGGTGCTAACATTTGCAAAGGGGCTCCCAGGAATTCGCTATCTCCTGCAAGATATTCCCTTTGCGGAAACTTGTCGTTTACTAAGTTCGGGTGGTGGCTGTTTTCTCAAAAGTGCTGCCGAGGCCACTATCCATTCAACAAACAAAGCAGCCAGGCAATCTGGTCAGGCGGTCATTTGGTGTACCGAAATACTTGGCTGTTTAACATTGGCCTCCTACACGGAAGACAATCTAGGATCCGTTCAAACTTCTCTTGGTCTAATTATTGGCACTTTGGATGAAATATTAGAAGTAAGTCAACGCCTGTACCGAATTATCTTTTTATAAGACAATTGCAAAGTACTCCATGCAGATCATGCTACGAGACCAACTCAACACTAAGTGCATCCTTCGTTGACATTCAATTTCCTGGTTGTCACATGGTTTGCTGTGTTGGGTTCCTGTCCACCATTTTTGCTGCAACTTATACATAAAACCGAACAAATAATCTCATCTGTTTTGAGCGCTAATTGGATCGCAAACTTCCATTATGCCAAATATTCTGCTTCTCTCATCGATTTGCCTAGTTGACTATTATACGCTTTCCAGACTGCATTTGCACCAGGCAAATCAATAGTAAAATGACCCACGAGTGACTTTTACAGTAGGATAACTATCCATGAGTTCTAAATTGTTAGTTTCAATAGTTGAATCGGCTGTCAGACTGTGTTGCTACGTTCAGTGTAATTATATCACCTCGCGGGCAAGCTTTGCTGAGCTATTTTCCATCTACGCCTACCGTCATGGCAAAGAAGCGTATTTCAGATAGAATTCGTGTCGTCGAAACCCGAAGCATGCCTCCGTCCACTAACACAAGGCCATTCAAGATAATTTTTGACTTGGCTTTGTTCGTGCAGACCGCTAGAGTAGCACTTTTAATTATCCGAAGCTGCTTTTGCGTACCTCGCAATGGTCACTGGTTTAAGCGCTTAGTGGCTATTATGCTCATTTGCACTCACGTCTGCTGGGCGCGCAGCTAGCCGGCTCAACATAGTCAAAATCCGCTCTAAATGACTCGACTACTGTAATCCCGGTGTATTTTGTTAACGCTTACAGAGGAGCCAGAAACGTAACCTGGTAGTTAAATTGATTTGGCAAAAGAATGCACCCATGGCAGACACCGGAGCAATTCTTGTCATCAACGAAGACATTGATATTAGTTAAAGTGTCTTCGGTAGCACGACGAGAAATAATCTCGCACGAAGTGGTAGAGTCAATTAGACGAGCGAATTCAGTCGACACAGCCTCTTCCCAATCCAGGGCCGTGGATACCTGCCCATGTTTGGATACTCTTGAGAAGATGTCA